TAGTGCAAGCTGAATCCTTGGGTTCCTTTAAATCAGAGCTAGATAAGATTTTAACAACTCTGAGCTATTAGTTAAGTTCTCCCCAAGCGAGCTCGTTGGGCCGAATGGCCTCCTCTCGTTTGTATAGTTCTTATGTTCTTATGTTCTTATGTTCTTATGTAATAATAAACCTGCAACCTTCTGATCACAAGCACAGAGGCTTAGCCCAGTATGCTACACACTACCCCCATTCCATGGTGTTTTGTAGCTGTCAGACCTGACTGCAACATATTCTGTAATTTTACTACTATAGTCAATCTCTATGAATAGAAACAATGTGTGTGTCTGTAAAGACCTCGTCACCAGTTTCATTACAGCATAACATTCTTAAAAATCATGGAAATCTTTTTTCTTTCTTTTGAATATTTCCACAACGACAAAAAATAAATTCACCCATTTTGTGACAAAATTATATAGCAGTGGGGTGGGAGTCTGGGTGGCTTTAGATTGTGCACACCTCAGTCCTCAGGTGGAGTGAATAGTGAGTTGATTTGACAAGTTTTGACATGAACGTGACAAATGATTAAAACCACCCTCGTCATTGTGCTCTCTCTCTCTCTCTCTTTCTCACCACCTCCCTCCCACTTGCTCTCTCTCTGCTTCCAGAATAAACACAAGAACAGGCGTTAACTTTTTTCTTGTTTTGATGATACTTGCATACCTGTCATTTAACAGTTTGTGTACCAGCTGATTTGAACGAGCATCATTTTCACTCCAGATTTAAAAAACAAACTAGCCAAGTATGTATTCTATGCTGACACCCAAAGATCATCAAGTTAATTACCTGTGTTTAATAGCAGTTGATCTGCAAAACCAGTTTGAGAACCAATAATATTGGCATGCTTCTCAGAAATGTTAGGCCCACATTACTTTGAAAGCAACATTGAAGCAGACAGTAACCTAATTCTGAAGAATGCTGATTCAAATTTTATTCTCATGAGAAGAGCTTTGAATATTGATTCATTCTGAAAATGATGAAATGTGTGCCTGTCGCAAGCCCGTCACAGACGTCTTTTCAATCCACACCAAAATAATGAAAAAAATCTCGTTCTTAGTCACAATGCACAATTGCTTCTGTGGCGGTAGTGCACATGGAAGCACAGAATACAAACTGAAAAATGTTTTAGCATTCAGTTTTCCTTTTTGTTCAGAGCATAATTATACTGGTCTGAATTAAAGTTAAGTCATTTTTATGTAGCTGAAATCTGACACATGCCCTTATTTGGACTTTAACTGTGATCATGAATTAAAAGAATCATTAAGGATTGGGTCAATGCAGACATTACTTATTCTGACTAATTAAGGTATTCTATTGCTTTCGTCCCTGTTCCATTTTTCAGTAAAAATGACTCAATTCTATGTACATTGTAAACAGATTAAGACATTCCTAAACAGTACTCTTAATCTTCAGTATTTTTGCAATTGTAGAAAGGTAGAATCTAATTTTTTGTAAAATCTCCACTTTCAAAATCTGCCACATCACACATTTTCAGTGAACACTAATATAAAAATATAAATCTTGGAACAGGTGACTCAATGGGGTTGTACATTTGTGGAATTTTCATGTTGTCCCCCTGTTTCTGCACTTTATAGATACATAGGCATACATAGGATCAAAATATCATAATTTGCAGTGTTTTATTTTACTGAAGGCTTATGCCTTAAAATCTTTATATCTGTCATGGTATTATTTGTACTTTCAGTGGTTGTTAGGTTTCCATTTTTAGAGTCATTTGCTAAATGGGTTTTCGAGTTTAGATCGATCATGTGGTTGGAATTAAACATCCGCCTGTTGAGTACCTGCGATTTATATGTACATGTGGTATATGCCATTAATTAAGGCGTGTGATAAAAAATAAAAAAAGTTTAACATCGCTGCTTGTAATACAATGCACTCTCTTGCCTTATTGCCATTTGTGCATCTAAACGTTTTGAAAGCATTAAAGTTCAGCTTATATTTGTTGAAAAATTACAAGTGTAAGGTAAACCATTAAATATTAAAATATGGGACATTTTCAGGATCTGGAGATTTTTTCAAGAAAATAGGATTCTAATGAAATATAGTTTATATTTCGCGTAGACCACTTATCATTACCTAAACTTTTTAGATTTATTACAATTATGTAATTTGTTGCACTGATTTGATTATTCTTTTAAACCATTTTCCTCAAATAGGCAGCCAGAAATCAAAGAACACAAAACTAGATGAAATATTTTTAAGTTTTGTTTCATGTAACCCATAATAAACAGTACGTTTGTATGACAAGATGTATATATTTGTTCAGTTTTTGGTTAGTTTTGTCATTTTTCATAATCTCTAACACTTTCCACTAGAGAAAAAAATCGACAATTAACCTCATTTTAAAAATAGAACTGGTATGTTATGGTAATGACTTGGTCATGAGTGAGAATAACCAATATACTCCCATTTGTGTCAATTGTACATTAATTTACGGATTCAATGTGTACATATTTATGATTGTATTAATTAATGTTAGGTGTGATGAATCCCAATTAAATCACAGAAAACTGTATGATTAATTGGTTGATTTTTTTTTTTTTTTATTGATTCACAGTGCTAGTTAATTCCTTATAAAGTGCCTATTGTATTGTTCAGAATCTAATAATATGAAGATGGAGATTTAACACATATAGGTTAGCTACATGTTAAATTATCTGCACTGTTTGGTCACAGTGGCACAGTGGATTGGCAGATAGGGCTGCTGCCTTGCATGTTCATCTTCTTGTTCTTGCTCCTTGAGTATGTTTTAGGCTATCACTCTTCCTTATATTAGCAGGTAAAGAAACTGGAATGATTGATTTAGTTCCGATTTATGGACAAGTATCAGAAATGATGGGAAGAATAAACACTGATGAATTTGTTTATTATTCTCTTCATCAGGATCAAAATGGTAGGCATGAGAATGTTACCTTCTTGGACAATAAACGGAAGAAGCCGTCTCACACGAAGAAGCGGCTGGTGATAGGACTCATAGTTATGCTGGCTTTTTTAGCTGCTGCAGGGGTGCTGGTCTGGTTCTTTACAAGTAAGACTTTACATGTACAATATTACTCTACATTATTAACTAGAACAGATTGTTAAATGCTTTTTAGATTGTGTGTGTGATTTTATGTAGTCAAAGCTGTATAACACTCTGGTTTGGTTAATCTTATGTTAGTAGATTCCTGAGTCTAATGTTAATGTTGTGTTTTTCCCTAATAATGCTGGCATACTTTTTAATGTTTTTTAAATCAAAACACATTGTTTTTAACTGTTATTAGCAAAAAAGTATTCAAAATCTTGAATGGAATTTTTCAGTAATAGCATAGTGTATGCTAATGAGCAAAGTTATACTAAAATTATACAATGCTTTATTAGATTGTATAGGACATTTAGGGACATCAATAAAAAGGATACTGAAGCTTGAAGGTAATAAATCTAAACTAGTGTGGTCTAATAAACTAGTGCAGTTCAATAAACAAAGTGTAGTTTCTTTTTTTTTGGTAACGCTTTCTATGAATGCCATGTCTACAAGAATCTATGAATACATTTTAACACATTATAATGCCTTCATAAAGCATTATAAACATGGCTAAATATTTATAAAAACGCACATTATAGCAATGCTTATTATGCATTATGAATGCTTTATGAAGCTCTCATCCATAATGCACTATAGATACCTTCATAATGCAGTACAGAGCATGCTAAATTCTTATACAAACCATTATAATGCACTATGAAGGTATATATAATGCATTATAGATGAGAGCTTCAAGTAAAATGTTACCATTTTTTGTTTTTTTGGCATTGCAAAACCATTTCGTTGTCTGCTCTCACCGCAAACATCATTCTCCTAGTTAAGCCCTACACCTCAGGGACACTGCTGGAGAGGAAGAAGGGCCCGGGGACTCGTGTTTTTACTGGCCACCTACGACTGGCCAATGTTAATTACAGTGAACAGCTGGAGGACCCCAACAGCCAGCAGTTTGCAGACCTGGCAGATAACCTGCAGGAAGTTGTGAGTGAGCTTCTCTTCAAATTCTTCCATTTTCAGCTGTTCAGTTTCTTTATTTTTAAGTGGTGCTGTCTTTATCATCATTTCCTCTTCAGTTATCCGGTTCACCTGGTCCACTGCTTAACATGCTAAAGGCAAATGGAAGTAATTAATTTTTAATTGATTTATTTAAATTATTAATTCATATATTTAGTGATGCAAGTCACAAAGTATGCTTTTCAGTCATTGTTTCTTTTTCTTTAGACTACTATACCTGTACTACAAAGAGTTATTCTCAAGGAAGTCCTACTGTAAGAACTAAAAACGCATCAGAGTATCAGAGCAGATGTGTAAATATCCAACTTTACAGTGGACAGGGAAATTTTATGCATGTTTTGTATAAATTAGCTGCAAACAAACAACATCCCTTATGGTCCTTTTGTCTCTTTCCCTCCCCTCTCCTTGTACTGTGGCCTCTTATCTTAACAGTGAGTCAGTCTTGTGTGTTTGATGGAAGCAGTAATAATTTCTGCCTGGTAAATAAACACAGGATGACCCTGGGATCTGCAGTAATTGAGATTTTGGGTCACAGTAACACAAGCATAATGCTCCAAGTCACCTTCCTCTAATATGCTGAATATATTTGCAAATTTATGGAACTAGTGTTCACTTGATGTATGAAGTGTAGCAGCAAATGAATTCAGAAGGGTTTATTAGGTATCTCAGAAGTTATTCCTATTTGAATAAAAGAAAATTGAAAAACTTTAGTGGCTTTGAAATTCCAAATTGGTTCCTTTGAGTTGTCTGTTGATTATTACCTTTTGAATGTTTTCTTTAATTTTCCATATTTTAATATCCCAGAATATACATAATATACAAATACCCCACACAGTTTGACTTTGAAGATTAAACATGCATACAGAAGGATTCAAAGCTGAAGTGTCATTGAATTACTTAATATTTCCCTGGAAGTGATTGAGCTAATCTTCCTCAGAAAATGGAGATTTTTTCCCTCAACCTTAGGATTCAGAATATTTAATAATAATTTAGTAATTGATTTTTCCCCATTAAAAATGAAGGGGCAGCAACTCATTTCTGGCATTTACGGTACTCTGTGATAAAGTCTTAGGTAGTCAAAGGAAATATTTAAATCTATCCGGGTAGTAAGTATATATTTGCTCAGAACAACAAACATAATTTAATATTATTTCAATATATGCAAATAAGAGTAAGATAGTAAAAACTAAGAATTTCTTTTGTTCTGCAAAAATACATTTTGTTGGATGACTAGAAGAACATTTCTTCAGTTCTAAAGCCGCTCCTCAGGGCCACCCCAGTCGTTTCACATACACTATATGGACAAAAGTATTAGGACACCTGGCCATTACACCCACAGGAACTTTTATGACATACCATTCTAAATCCATAGGCATCAACATGGAGTTGGTCTCTCCTTTGGGAAGTTTTTTTCACAAGATCTTGGAGAGTGTGTGTGGGAATCTTTTTAACCATTCCTCCAGAAGAGCCTTAGTGAGGTCAGGCACTGATGGTGGTTCTAGTTCATCCCAAAGGTGTTCAGTGTGGTTGAAGTTGGGACTTTGTGTGGGCCAGTCAAGTTCTTTCACACCAAACCCACCCAGCCATATCTTTATGGATTTTGCTTTGGGCACTGGGGTACAACCATGCTGGAACAGGAAAGGGCCTTCCCCAACCAGTTCCCAAAGAGTTTTAAAGCATAGAATTGCTCAAAATGTCTTGGTGTGCTGAATCATTAAGAATTCCCTTCACTGCAACTCAAGGGCCTAGCCAACCCCTGAAAAACAACCCCATACCATTATCCCTCATCCACCAAACTTTACAGTTAGCCCAATGCAGTCAGACAGGTACCGTTCTCCTCCTGGTATCCACCAAACTCAGACTCATCCATCAGACTGCCAGACAGAGAGGCGTGTTCTGCAAAATTGCTGCAAATACTGGGGTGACTTTAAGATGGGCTTTGAAGTGGCTAAGCTGACACACTTTGCTAGGCATAATAGCCTAGTTTTTCACTTAAATGCAGATTATTTAAATACAATTTTCTATCACTGCCTAAGACTTTTGTACAGTACTGCATATGCTTGTATTTATAAATTCACAACTCTGTTCATACAAATCTATTTTGTCCTTAAAGGAACCATAAATCAGTTTTTTTTTTTTTAATTTATTTTTAATTTGTGTCTTTCAGTTGCACAATACTTTTGAAAATGATGTTTTTCTCTCCAAGTACTATAACCAGTCTGTGGTTTCTGGTTTCAGGTAAGAGTCATATATGCGTAAAACAAAATCTATTTTTATTTTTTCTATAGATGGTTAGGTTATGTAAAAAATTTTCACATGACTATGATCTAATGACAATGGTGCATGTGACATATCAGTTCCATAACACATTCTATTTTATTGGAATTATAATAATATAATTTCTATAATTTCTTTTTTCCCCTCCATGGGCACAGTGAAGGTGTACTTGTGTACTACTGGAGCAGGTTTGACATCCCTGTCACAGAACTAGAAATCATTTCACAATTTACAGATGAGCGAATCATCAGTGTCTTGCGGGGTAGCATCAGAGCAGAGGGAAATCAAAGGACTCGAGAGCTGTTCATCACTGACATCACAGCATTGCGTGAGTGTCTGTTTATTAGTTAAAGCCTGTAAATTAGTTGTCTCAAATTCTATGTACTTCCGTAATTTAAAAACATAATAAAATCATTTTCTTGAGTGTCAAAAAGCAGTGCATTATATCCCCATTAATATCCAATAGTAACTTATTAAGCACACAACAACCCTTGCTGTCAGACTAAAACCTCAGTAGGATTTAAATAGTGTAATGTTGTGTATTGTGGTCTGGTAAAATTGGCCCAGAAGTTGCTATCATACCTGCTCATTCTGTGAGTGTTAAATCCACAGGTCTCTGAATTCTCTGCTTTTCTCTCTCCATTTCAGGTGCTGATCCACGGCTGGTCATAAACCCACGAACTGGTGACTACACTTTTACCAATTATACTGTTTTATCATTTACTGGTTTAGATCAAATTTTGAACGATACCTGAAGTCTAGTCATTTGTTTATAGCTCATTTGATTATGTTGTATAAAGGCATCGCTTATCAACCTGAGCAGGCCTTACATTTCTTTTCTTTTGTCTGCTAGAAGATTGCTTTTCACACCTTGAAGCCGTCAGCACACCCCAGACCTTTACTTCCCCTGGTTTCCCTAAAAAATATCCAGCTCATGCCCGCTGCCAGTGGCAGATCCGGGCTCCTAAAAGGGCCACCATCTTGGTTAAATTTCTTGTCTTCAATGTGCTGGATGACTGCTCCAACGACTTTGTGTCCTTCTACGATTCACTCAGCCCTGAGGAATCCAAGGCCATCACAGAGTGAGTGTTAGGATGTAGTGTTTCTTTAAATGCACATCCAACCTGTTTGCTTGCAAAGACCGTCGACAGTTACACTTTAGTAATTTAGTGATTATAGTGTTGAGTTATAATCATAATTTTCTGTGGGTCCTATCAGGGCATAAGCTGCTAATGAGATCTCTCCAGGAATCTCAATCCTGGACCAGTCGTTCCAGTTGTCCCCAGGAGGAGGACACCAAATGTAAAAAGTGCCTGTAGGCAAAGTTCACAGAATGTATGTTAGGTGCTGGATGTCAAATTTCAATGGGTAGGAATGCCATCATTGAAAATATAACATGACTCACGTGTGATTTTTGTGCACACGTATTACATATTACATACACTGCTATATTTGGGAATGAACACTGTTGTCATTTTAACTAATTTATTTTAAAATAATGTTTAGTGCTTCAGTCCATAATTAAAAGGCATATTATTACATGTGCCTTTCTGGTGGGTGTATTTTATTAAATTATTTTGTAGTATGTTTTTATTTGATAACCTTTGCTAAATGCAAATTGTCTTTGCTTTATTTATGTCCCTGGGGTTAAAATGACCGAAATGTTGATGCCAGTTTTTTTAAGTATTATGGCATGTAATCCATCCATCCATCCATCATCTACCGCTTATCCAGGTCGGGTCGTGGGGCCAGCAGTCTAAGCAGGGAAACCCAGACTTCCCTCTCCCCGGTCACTTCGTCCAGCTCCTCTGGGGGAATTCTGAAGCATTCCCAGGCCAGCCGGGAGACTCTCCAGCATGTCCTGGGTCTTCCCCGGGGCCTTCTCTCAGTGGGACATGCACGGAACACCTCACCGGGGAGGCATCCAGGAGGCATCCTGACCAGATGCCCGAGCTACCTCATCTGGGTCCTCTTGATGCGGATGAGCAGCGGCCCTACTCTGAATCCCTTCCAAATGACCGAGCTTCTCTAAGGGAGAGCCCAGCCACCCTACAGAGAAAACCCATTTCAGTCGCTTGTATTCGCAACCTTGTTCTTTCACTCACTACCCACAGCTCATGACCATAGGTGAGGGTAGGAACGTAGATCGACTGGTAAATCGAGAGCTTTGCCTTTTGGCTCAGCTCCTTCTTCACCATGACAGACCTATGCAGCTTCCGCATCATTGCTGATGCAGCACTGATCCACCTGTCTATCTCTCGCTCCATCCTTCCCTCACTCGTGAACAAGACCTCAAGATACTTATTCTCCTCCACTTGGGGAAGGACTCCCTCCCCGTCCCGGAGAGAGCACTCCACCCTTTTCCGGCTGAGGACCACGGTCTCGAATTTGGAGGTACTGATTTTCATCTCAGCCACTTCACACTCAGCTGCGAACTGTTCCAGTGAGAGCCGAAGGTCATGGTCTGATGAGGCCAACAGAACCACTACATCTGCAAAAAGCAGAGATCTAATCCTGCAGTCACCAAACCGGACACCCTCAACGCCCTGGCTGCACCTAGAAATTCTGTCCATAAAATTTATGAACAGAATCAGAAACAAGTCCGACTTACTGCCAACAATGCAGACCAAGCTCTGACACTGGTTGTACAGGGAACGAACAGCCCTTATAAGGTAGCCTGGCATCCCATACTCCCGGAGCTCCCTGAGGGATGTGGTCGAATACCTTCTCCAAGTCCACAAAGCACATGTAGACTGGTTGGGCAAATTCCCACGCACCCTCCAGGACCCTGCTGAGAGTATAGAGCCGGTCCACTGTTTCACGGCCAGGGCCCACCACCCCTGTCTGCCAATCCAGAGGCACAGCCCCTGATGTCCACGCGATGCTGCAGATGCGTGTCAACCAGGACAGCCCTGCAACATCCAGAGCCTTGAGGAACTCCGGGCAGATCTCATCTATCCCTGGGGCCTGGCCACCGAGAAGCTTTTTAATCACCTCAGCAACCTCCGCCCCAGAGATAAGTGAGTCCACCCCCAAGTCCCCAGACTCTGCTTCCTCATTAGAAGGTGTGTCGGTGGGATTGATCCCGAGCTGAGGTCAGTAGCGCCCCATCCCCACCATAAACAGTGTTGATGCTGCACCGCTTTCCCACCCTGAGCCGCCGGATGGTGGACCAGAATCTCCTGGAAGCCGTCCGGAAGTCTTTCTCAATGGCCTTTCCAAACTCCGCGTTCTGCTTGGCCCGCCGGTACTCATCAGTTGCCTCCGGAGTCTCACAGGCTAAAAAGGCCTGATAGGACTCCTTCTTCAGCTTGACGGCATCCCTCACCACCGGTGTCCACCAGCGGGTTCAGGGATTGTCGCTGCTACAGGCCCTGACCACCTTATGGCCACAGCTCCTGTCAGCCGCCGCCACAATGGAGACGCGGAACATGGCTCATTCGGACTCAATGTCCCCCTCGTCCCCTGGAACATGGCGAAGTTCTGCTGGAGGTAGGAGTTGAAGCTCCTTCTGCCAGGGGATTCCGCCAGACGTTCTCAGCAGACCCACACTATACGCTTGGGTCTGCCAGGTCCAACCGGCTTCCTCGTCCACCAGCGGACCAGGTGGTGATCGGTTGACAGCTCCACCTCTCTCCTAACCCGAGTGTCCAATACACTGTCATTGCCCACGTGAGCATTGAAGTCCCCCAGCAGAACAAGAGAGTCCCCAGGAAGAGTGCTCTCCAACACCCCTTCCAAGGACTCCTTGGGTATTCTGAACTGCCACTTGGCGCATAAGCGCAAATAACAGGCTGGACCCATCCCCCCAACCGAAGGCTAAGGGAGGCTACCCTCTCGTCCACCGCGGTAAACCCCAATGTACAGGCGCCCAGCCAGGGGGCAATAAGTGTGCCCACCTGTGCTCGGCGTCTCTCCTCGTGAGCAACTCCAGAGTGGAAGAGGGTAAATCCCCCTCAAGGAGTCTATATTTTGCTCAGGCTCCTTCCCCACCAGAGAGGTGACATCCCATGTCCCTAGAGCTAGCTTCTGCAGCCGTGAATCAGACTGCCAAGGTCCCCGCCTTCGGCCACTGCCCAACTCACACTGCACCAGACCCCTTTGGCCCATTCTACAGGTGGTGAGCCCATTGGAGGGCAGACCCACCTGCCTTCTTTGTGGATCTTTGTTATTACTCATCATAAGGGGTCTAATGAACCGCACTTTGTCTGGTTCCTCACCCAGGACCTGTTTGCCTTGGGTGAGCCTACCAGCAACTAAGCTCCTGGGATCATTGGAACACGCAAACCCCTCCACCACGATAAGGTGTCGGCTCCAATACATCAATTTTTCATAATCTCTTATCCAGTTCAGGGTTAGCCAGGACACAAGACAGGGGCACTCGGGATGGGATCATATTTCAGTAAGCTTAAACTTTCGATAGAATTTGTAATAATGGTCTATCACTGCTCCTCTGGATTTCCAATAAGCCTACTGTATGATATGGTCTTTTATGGTCTGAAAATGTTTCTGTTTTTACTGTACTAGTGGTTTCTATTCTAACATGGTCAGTGATAGTAGGATGTTGTTCATAAGAATCTCAAGGTGTTTATGAATTTTGGAAATGATAGTGCTGATATGAAATGTTTTCAAATGCTGTTGTATTATAAATCAAACACACGTTTGCCTGTTATTTTTATTACATAGTGAAAAAGCTTAAAACTAAAACATGCTGTTTGCATAAGTATTCTGACCTCACACAAGTATTGTAATAGCTCCACCTTTTCCCACAATTACAGCTTTAAGTCTAATGGCAGTAGGTATCTACCAGCTTTGCACTCTGGTTATGAGTGATGATCTCTAATTTGGTCTTGGCAGATTATCTCAAGCTAATGCCAGTTCCTTGTCCGGCACTTGTTGACAGTGGGTTGCAGAGCATACCGTATATTCTCAGTGCAGTTTATCTTGGGACTTTGGCTGGATGGCTCTTTGAAATTTGGCATTTTGTTCTCACCTTTCCAGTGTTGCCTTGGTACTGTCCTGCTTAAAGATAAATTTCCTAATAAGCTTTGGGTGTTTCCTGTTCTGAGCCATTCTTCATTACTTTAGTTCACATCCATTCCTAATGAGAACCCTCCCCCAAGCATAATGCTGTCATTAGCGTACACCACATTTTGGGGGTTTGGACAGAATTATCAGATAAAGCACTCTGCTTTCTATCTAAAGCAGGGGTGTCAAACTGCAGTCCTGGAGGGCCGCAGCCCTGTGTAGCTTGGTTCTTTCCCTGTTCCACCACAAATGATTCAGCTCAACAGCTATGTGGTAATTAGCACAAGAAGTTGAATCAGGTGTGTTAAACGAGGGGAAACCCAAAAAGATGCATTATTTTGAATAAGGACTGCTTTTGTACACCTTGTGCACCTTTATTCTACTTTCCTTTGGGGCTGTTGCGATTAATCAACATAGTCTATGACATCGACGCTGAAAATACGTGGACTTGACTTTTAATTAAACTATCATTGTTTTCTTATACTCTTCAATTCACTAAAACATTTTTTCCTTTTTTCCGTTTAATATCACTACATAATTATGGGAGTAGCTCAAATTATAACAAAACAAAAAGGTGGTTTTACACTGTGCAAAGTTTGATGGCATATCATAGCATCACTAGTGCTATCCACAAGCACCTGAAGACACACAGGTGCTATTCTGGACTGCCAGAATAAGCAAAACCACCCTAAGTGTTGGGACCAGTGTTATCGTAAACTAAAAATGAAACGAAAAAGGACACTAAAGAAAATAATTCGCAAACTGAAATAAAAATGAAAACTATATTTACAAACATGTCAGACTTTAATCAGCTAAAAGCAGCTCCACATCATCAACATCTTTTTACCTTGTTTATCCACAATATTTCCTCTAGTCGATAGATTAATACATAGAAGAATAATTGTTATTAGCAGTCCTACCTTCCTTAATCTTTTAGGATGCTTGTTAGATTCCCAGTAGCTTCCAGTACTCTCCTGATTGTCCAGATGGCATGTTTCCTGGGTTTTGTTAGGCAAACAGAGACAGAAGGCATATCTATCTGTTTGTCTATATATTTGTCTGTCTGTCTGTCTCTCTCTCTCCTCTGTTTGTCTCTTTCATAGATGTGTATATGTGTATTTAATCATTGATTTGTTTTTCCTTCAGATTCATAAACAATCCCTGTATAGAGTAATTTTTATCCAGTATTTAGGGGCAGTTTTTTCATTGGTGCAAACGTGAAAGCCTACGGTAATGCAAATAGGTTAGGTTGCTATATTTCACATTATATTTTACACTTTGAGCTAAATGCGAACCAGGTCTGAATATATATGCAAATAGCATTTTTTGGTTTTAGGCTTTGTTTTGTAGACAGTAATTTTTTGCTTTAAATATTTTCTGTTTAAGCATGGCAATTTGTGATAAAAAAATATTTGTGCTTTAGCACATTTCATGAAACATATTTAATATTTTCACGACTATAAGAGCATTTGTCAAAACAATTCATACATATAGTATAACAGTAAGGTTAAGCTGCAAAAGGCCATGACTCACCCAGAACAATTAACTCATATCGAAAGCAAATAATTCCACCAATGTATCAGTCAGTGCTAAGAAAACGAAAAGTACAATCAGCATTGTTTTTGACCATTAGAGTCAAAACTCTTAGGTATATTGTCAGTATGTCAGTGTAAGTATGCTTCTGAGCTGTTACACAGCACTGTATAACAGAAAACAGCAATACAAGAACAACAAAATGGAGACAAAATCATGTACTGTGGGGACCAAAAACACAACAATGCTGTATCACTGCAATTTATGTATTATATTTTTGAATCCGTTTAAAACTTTGGTTAACTGTTTCGCATGTGGTGGCTTATGCAATAATCACTTGCATATTTAGTTTTTGGTGTAAAATTATTACACTGGGGAAATTACATAATCTGTTTTGACCAACAAGACTAAAGAAAATGGAAATAGTGCCAAATAATGACAATTGTACAAAACAATTTGCATGCATGTACTGAAACATTTGTAAATTTGCATGAAACAATGAGAAATGACGTTGTGCTTTGCAGAAGTTATATTATAGTGAAAAGATTACACCTATTTTGCCGATATTGTCATTTGAGAAATGAGCTAAAGCAATAAAAAAAACTGTAAGTGAACAATGTGTGTCTGTATCATTTACAGTAGCAAGGACTGCAGGCATGTAGCCGTATAGTAAAATAATGGGTCCCAACCCTATACCGATCAGACACAGCAGGGAACAGGGGAAATCACAACTTTGAACCTCTCTTGAAATTTGCCTATGGAGTTTGCATGTTGCTGCAGTGTCTGTCAGTTTCGTTTAGGTTAAACTGCTAGATCTTAGACCTCTAGGGACTGGTCAGCTATTAGTGCAGAGATAGAACCAAACATGGTGAAATGGTTCTCAGCCATTATGCTCCCAAACCTGCTCCCAAAAGAATTTGGATGTGCAGCAGTAGACACATTTAAATCTAGCTTGAAAACATTTTTATTCAGACATGCCTTTGAATAAATTCAAATACCACATTACATTTTATTTTTACTCTATTTTTTTGTTGTTAATGACTTCTCTGCATTACTATATGTGTTTTTTACTATATGTCTTTTTTATTATCTGTTTAACACCATGAACTGCCTCTGTATGAAATGTGATATACACTGATCAGCCAGAACATTAAAACTACTGAGAGCTGAAGTGAATAACATTGATTATCTCTTTTTGAATGGCATCTGTCAAGGGTGCTATTGTATATTTGATGAGTGAACAGTCAGTTCCTGAAGTTCATGTGTTAGATGTAGGAAAAATGGGCAAGTGTAAGGATCTGAGTGACTTTGACAAGGGCCAGATTGTGATGGCTAGACAACTGGATCAGAGCATCTCCAAAATGACAGGTTCTGTGGGGTGTTCCTAATATAAGCAGTGGTTAGTACCGCCAAAATTGGTCCAGGGAAGGCCAACTGGTGAACAAGCAACAGGGTCATGGGCGCCCAAGGCTCATTGATGCATGTGGGAAGCAAAGGCTAGCCCATCTGGTTGCAGTTTGCCGTATATAGGTCTGCGTAGCCACAGTAGCCGTGGCCTTTTTCAGCTACTACACTGCAAAAAATGTTCAGGAATGGTTTGAGGAACGTGGAAAAGATTCCCCAGATCGCAATCTCTTCGAGCATCTATGGGATGCACTGGACAAACAAGTCCAATCCATGTAGACCTCACCTTGCAACTTACAGGTCTTAGAGGATGTACTGCTAACGTCCTGATCCCTGATGCCACAGCACACTTTTTGGAGTCCATGCCTCCACAATGGGGATCTACACAATATTAGGGAGGTGGTTTCTATGTTACGGCTCATCATATATAAATAAACTTGCATTACCTTACGTATACCATTTTCCTTCCACAACCTAGAGAAACACTTCAAATTGTCATGTGTGTATGTGTGTGTGTGTGTGTCCTGTGATACACTGACATTCTGTCCAGGTGCTCTGTGCATCCTTGGATAGTCTCCAAGGTCATGATCACTCTGTAGTGTATATTGGTAAAGTGCTTTTTGAGTACGTGTTTTGGAAAGGTCTAGGCACAATGTACACTGCCAGTATTTCTTGCTTGGCAGCTTTCTTTAAAAGTCACAAATAGAGTCAAAACGCAAATTCAAATATGCCTATTTTTATGGTAGAAATATTTTAACTTGAGTTTTGAAAAGATTAAATAAAAAGTACAATAAAATTCTGCTTTATTTTAATATATGTTACTCAGATATGCAATGCATTCCCTTCTAAGAATTAAGTTGTTGTAATTGTTGCTTTTTTTCTTCTACAGGAAGTGTGGTCAGAGGCCTCCCAGCAACCCCCTTGAGGTTGTGTCATCAAGCAACCTAATGTCAATAAACCTGGTATCGGACAGTGGCAGGGAGAAACCTGGCTTCAGTGCTATGTACATGTTCGTCCCCTTAATCACAGGTACTAACATTATATCTGAGACAGCTCCACTCACCACTCAACATCTCAGTAGGGAGATGATGCATGTCAGAGATCTTATTAGCCAGGCAAACCTTAAAGCTTTATATTTCCATGGCTGAAGATTTTGTGTAGATTCCATGAAGTGTTCAATATCCAGTGGAGCCTTCGTGACATGGTCTAATTTAGGCTTAAGGATCTTTTTGTGTCTTATTCTTTTAAAGCTAACCAATGTGGAGGACGATTGACCAATAAGTCTGGGAGTTTCCACTCTCCACATTACCCCAGCTTCTACCCTAATTCTGTAGACTGCAAATGGACAATTGAGGTAATTACATATGACTAAAGTATGTTCAAGCTTGCTGTCAATATTTGGGACTCAAAAATTCCAGTCACTGTTTCTTCTAAGGCTGAGAAATGTTAACTTGTGTAAAAATTTGCGCACATTTATGTAATAGCTTTCAAGAAAATAGTTTTCTGTTTTTTTACTGAGAATCTGTAGTGGAAAAGTTTCCTTTTTATGTTTGATACAGTTTTTATTATCTAGAAAGAATACATTTATTAATAATGCTCCAAGATCACATTTTCGGGTGGTTAGAATATGTATAGTCACTATTTTTAAAGGTGACCAGGGATTAAATATAGACAGTCTGGCAGAGCCCAGCTCTTCCTCCATATGTCCAAATTGCACCTTGCCAGATAACCCATTTGCATATGCATTTACATGTTATGTTTTTAAAAAAATCAAGTACAGTTTAGCCATGCAATATGAGCAATACCCACATTAAATAAAAATAACTTTTTAATCACATTTATTTTGTATTTTTATTTTGTATTGCTTTAAAGTGGTAGCATAACATGTCAACAAATGAACATGCTGTATCTTTAAGACTGTGATCATAAATACATTACTAATAACCCCCCACATCTGTACCTCCTCTCTGATTCTGATTTAACCCGTTAAGGTGACACTGTGTCAGAATAGTAAAATATTATGCCAAGTAGGTCAGTTCTCCCATGGTCTAGTAATTTGCCAATCAGAGTGGCCTTTTTGTCTGTCAGGTACCTGCAAACATGAAAATCCAGCTGAGATTCACTATGTTTCGCATGAAGGAACCAAAAGTGGATGTTAAGGTCTGCCACAAGGACTATGTAGAGGTGTTGGGCACAAAGTAAGGCTGTTTATTTATTGTGGCTGAATTACTCTTGACAAATGTCTCACTAATAGTGAAGTGTTTATACTAGTAGTGTGTGTGATGCTATTTATAAACAAAGTATATCACTCCTGAGATTGTTACTCATAGAGAAAATGCCATGTAATGGATGGGAGTTGAACAGCACTGTGGTCTCACATCTGCATGCCTGTGAGTTTAACTTCTGTCTCCACCTCCACTTGGGGGGAAGTTTGCATATTCTTCGTGTTTGCACAGGTTTCCTCGAGGAACTCCCACATGCAGTTAAGCAAACTGGTTTCTCTAACTTTTCCTGTGATGGACTGCTATCCCTTCCAGGGTGTCCCTGCCTTGTGTCCTATACTGCCTGCGATAGAGTTTACACAGGATAAGGAGTGGAAAATAGATGAATATTTCTTTTCTGCATTTTTTTTTGCTTTTTCCATACAGATACTGTGGAGAGAAGTCTTTGCTGGCCCTTTCAAGCCAGAACAACACACTAGAAGTCACGTTCCATTCAGATGAGTCATACACAGACAAAGGCTTCAGGGCAACATACGTTGCCTATGACCCCGTGAACCGTAAGTCAGTTTTTCATCATGTTAGTGATTTACAACAAATGTTTAAATAGTTAAATGATTGTTTTAATATTGACTATTTGAGTATCCTTTAGGTTGCCTTTAATTTTTAAATGTGAAACCGGAATGTCGTAGTACTCGTGTCTCAAGATAATTTTTTCACTTACTTGAAATTGTCTCAGAATTGAAAACATCTCTTGAATTTGTGTCTTGGTTTGGACTTGAAATTTTAAAACGTGACAATAGACTGTTCTTTTTAACCATTGATAAAATTTCTAATTTCACTTACTCCTCTCAAAATAATGATATATGTTAATAAAATACAATTGATGAAATATGAATAATCTATCATTCACATTTGTTTTATTACCTGTATACTGCAGTTATTTTACATAATCAGTGCAAAGCTACTTTGGAAATCCCTCCAGAAAACACGCCAGTTTCAGTTGTTAATCGATTTGGCTACTTTAATCACAGAAGTGATTTTCTCACATGAAAGCACACTTTGCTTACAGCAAGATCTAAACTTCTCAGTCCATTGGATATTGTTAGAATGGAAATAAGCGTGATCACCATTTAGGTTTCACATGGGTAGTTCTTCACAAAAGCTCTTGAGAGTTACGGAGCTATTATGTTAACTGCTGTTTTATGCGTTGTCTGACTGATTTGCCTTATGAGTATATTATCAGCTTTACATGTATCAGGCTGTGCTAGTAGAAAAGCAAGCAAAGGATGAGGAGACTTGCTTGCCGAGACAGAACACACTCTTTATTCTATGCAATGCAATGCAATTTTATTTATATAGTGCATTATCA